TTGTTTTGTCCCAAACCCAAAGATATTCAGTTTACGATTACATAAGACAAAGAAAAGCAGTAAATCTTCACATTTAAGAAGCGAAAACTTCGTAAAGTTTAGCATTATGCTTGAAAATGTACTTTGATCGATTATAAAAGGAGTTGCTCATTAATGTTCGATTAACTCGTAGTTTCAGCTCTGGTTAATATTCAGCAGTATCTGCCCGAATATGACACAGAATGAATGGTTACAAGGTTAATAAATACAAAAACTGAACAAACGTCACAAATCCATCTCCATTGAAATAACTTCAGTGAAAGGCTGAATGAATGACCTCATTTGTGTGAAAAACCTGAACCACACATTACTCACAAACATGCACATAAAGAGAACGCTAGATGCTGAAACTAAACAACACTGCTTTGTCCGAACGTGTGATGTGAGAACAGCTCTATTCAGTGAGTTTTATTACTCCTACAACCAGCGTCCCTCCTTCACACACAATCAACTCAGAAGAGATTCCAGTAACCTACAGTATTATTTTATAGATAATATGGTCCATTGCTGCTTCTTTTTATCATTATTATTTATTATCCAACATTTCTTGTTTGGTCAAAGAGCCCAGAGGAACACAATAGGGCACAGGCTAAAGTCAGTAGCCGACTATATGGCAAAGTCATTACATCTGACCCACAAACTGAACTCCCCTCTTTGGGCTGGGCCAATCACATGCGGAGGAGGAAATACCACACTAAAAACAACGGTTGCATAACACATGCCTACTAAATGACCTGTGTGATTATCTACCAGAGGAATTATGTTTCTGCGTTTTTTTTAAAGGGTATTTCCTTTCAGTGCAATTGAATTTAAATCAGGTAATGCCACATCAAAACCAGTTGTCGTGTGATGAGGGTGTGTATTGCCGAAAATAAGAGCACGGCGCCGCATTTCTCAAGGTGAAGCGTCCTTCATTGTGTGAGAACCAGTTGTTTGTGAGTCATACTGTGAAACTGCGATGCATAAAAATTAAACCACTAGTTATGTTACGAGGGGGGGGCTACTTCACGTCAGGTACACAATGCCGTTTGAGGTCCTCAGAGCCTCAGTAGGAAACAGCAAAACCATTGCGTGAGAAGATGGACCTGACGCCAACCACACAGCCAGTGCAGCCCGGCGCTCGGCTAATTTCAAATGACACAAAAATTGAGGCGCACGCGAAAACAAACCCACTCACTACAGATACACACAGAGAAATGCTAAGTTTACACACGGATAAGCTAATACCCACACACCCAAACAAGGTAATCTAGGCTCACACCACATGCACAGACATAATCCTATGCTTAAAAGCACAAACCTCTTTAAAAAAAAACACACACAAAGACAAGGCAATTAAAACCACATGTGAACTGAAGATGAGGTACATCTCGTGTCTCTCTCCATCTGTTCCTGGTCACCAGGTATTCGGTCGACTATCAGACATTCGTGAAGATGGTACCAAGAATTTATTTGCGCAAACAATAAAAACACAACCACAGCTGTGCCCTCGTTGACATGACGCACCTCTGCGTGCTAATCTTAAAGCTGATCATTCCCTGTCAGATGCTGTGAATCAGACAGGCGTGACGAAAAACAAAAAAGCCTCCAAGACATGGAGTCACACCACTGTTAGTGAAGCATTTCTATTGAGCAGCATCCCGACTGGATCCCACAGCTACATTCACGCTACAGGGCTGCAGAGTAATAACTGTACAAAAGACACTCTGTGGGGCCGTGTGGAGTACAAATACTGTGACTCAATACTCGCTCTGAAGAAATCACAGCTGAAATTAAGATTCAGCAAAATCACGTGTGCAAGTCAGTGGAACAAGCAGCCTTTTCACTTCGTCTCAACTCCAGAAGTTTCTAGACTTTGTGTACAGGCCTGTGAAGACCACAATACATCCATCCATACTGTTCAATGAACGGCGTCCACAGGTCCTTGGGGACAGATGTGCTTCAAGTGAAGATTTAGGTTTATTTTTGGCATAATGCAATTCGAGGATCAAACAATCTCATGAACCCCCGCTGAGTGGATACTTCCATAAAAGGCTAAGCAGAGCCAAAAGGCTGTTAAACCTAAAAGTAAAAGAGACACTAAGATAAAATCAAATCTATCTGGTTTAGTAGGAAAACACATTAGATTAAAAAACAAGTCATAAACACGCATACTGATGCTCAGGCTTGTCCAGCAGAGAAACCGATTAAATGTCTGACTTCCTCTGGCTTTTAACAGCACATCCTTTCTCCAGATCTTGGTGCTTATTTCTGCAGCCACATCCTGTAAAGTCCATGAGCCTGTCTCACAAAGCAGGATTACTGGGTTAACTAACCGACTTAGGGGTTAAACCTGGCATTTTTGTCCCAGCTCCATTTTTATGGTAACCAACAGCGCCGACCAAACCTGCGAGGAGACATTTTTGTTCAGGGTTATCAAAACATGTAAGATGTCCACCTCCTCGGGCATCAACTGTGAGGTAAAAATGTTACCCTTCCTACACAATCACAAAAACACCAGACGTGTGTTAAAGAACACGAAAAGATGTGTTCACAAACTACAACATAGTTTTTCTTTTTATTATATCAGATTGACATTTATTCCTTTTTATGGAAAGGTGTTGTGATTGAAGATTTAAAAATGAATCCACCAAGTGTTTAAATAATTAAAATTTACTGCATATTGTTGATTATTAACTGTGTTGACCAGCTCAGGTGCACACGAGTCACTTGATGGCATAACAGTATCCAATAAATAAAAGGTTTTCCCACTGTGCCCTGACAAACTGCACCGTCAGCCTTTTAAATGAAATAATAACAATAAATCTTCACACTGACAAATACATGCACTACAATTTGCTAATGCATATAACTTATTTTCTACTATTTTAATCACCTTTTCTAGTCAATAAAACAGCACTGCCCGATTTTCCTGCAGGAATTAATATCTTCAATATGTAATAAATATCCTGTGTTTGATCTGATGCTGCTGCATGTGACTGGGTGTGTGTGTGCGTTATAAACCCGAACTCTTTCATGTGTAGGTACTCATAAACTGGATTAATCATCAGCTGATAACCACCTTTGTGAGAGCGGTTATCCAGAATCACCAATGTTTCATTTGTGAAACCAGATAACAGAGTGTGCCTACACTGACAACAATAAACAACACAAACAGTGCTGAAAAAACAAACTTTCAGCACTGATTATAACTTTTTCAATAGCATGATAAAACAATAAAGACAAACGCCGATCACAAGTCATGTTTTTAAATATTTAAATTAGGGGCTCACCAAGACATTTTCTATATAGAGTGGTCTGGGGTATACGATCTTTTGTTTACTGCACCCAGGAAATATGAGCTGTGTCAAAGACACCTCAATTATAACACTGAAACCATTTCGTAACACACAAGGTTATAAGCAGGTGAACCACAAAGCAGCGTAAACCAACAATCAGCAGCCAGCAGTCTTAATTAATGATATCCACCCTGTCAGTGAGCCAAAAACCTCTCCGGGTTGACATTTCAGTGACATTTCTCAGGTGAACTACGCCTCTAAAAAGGTGAGTGGCTCAACAACTGCATTTAAATGTCAGTATTGTGTTCACGCTGAGTATGAAGAAAAGCTGTCAAAATCTTTGCTCAATTTGCAGGCAGTGCACACCAACACTCCTCTGTCCAAAGGCCTTGCAGACATGTATTAAGACATATATACAAATAGTCTGCTTGGAACAATAAAGTGCGTCTGATATCAACTCCTTCTACCTCATTAAAAACAATTCCTTAGTCTATGAATATGCAAATTTTCTTCATTTGTAAAGTTTCTAGAGGGTTTTTAAAGACTTTCAAACTACTTGTGATATCACAAGTCATGCTCGTAGGCCGCGCCCCTTAAAATCTGATTTCCAACGAGCACGGAGAAACTTTCCACTTTCAGCAGACGAATGTGAAAACATCCCACTAATGTCAAACTCGGCACATACATGATTCTGCACAGCCTTCTTCAGGCAAAATGTGCACAGTGTAGCTGTATTATTGAGGAAACAGATTATCTGTTGCCCAGCTTGTCTATGATTAATATTGTGCTGATAAACAAAGTTATAAAAAGGCTAATGACGCTCATGACTAGGCTTATTTAGAATATTCTGAGAGGCCACAGCTCTGGTCTTTACTCTGGTTAGTGTTGTTTTAACTGTACTTGTAGGGTTACTTATCTTTTTC